AGAGAGGAGAGAGAGAGAGAGAGAGAGAGAGAGAGAGAGAGAGAGAGAATGAGAGATAATGACAGAGATAAATAGAAGAATGAAAATCTAACGGGAGAAAGAATGAGAGATACAAAGAGAGAGAGAACATGAGAGATAACGGAAGAAAGAGAATGAGAGACAATATAAGATAACCCTCACACTATATAATGCTGGTGGAATACTGGCCATCATGACAGGATTAACTCGCCACCCACAGGATATTTCCTGGGACAAAAACACCACACACACACGACAAGGTCTCAGGAACACGAAAGCAACAATGTCACACACACACACACACACACACACACACACACACACACACACACACACACACACACACATACGCACACGCTGTCTGGTACTTCATCCTGTATCATCATAGTTGTTCAACAAAACTGTACAGTCCCTCAGTTCATCTACAGGAATGATCTTCATTGATTCACAAGCGATGGAGAGTGGCCCGACAGCTTGAAGACGGCAAATGTGGCACCAATATAAGAAACTGGAGAGGGAGGGGATTAGGCAGATCAATAAGCAGACTGTGTTAGAGGTTTGGTGACAATTTGTGTCTAAGTATGGTGACAGTCTGTGTCAAAGGTTGGTGACAGTCTGTGTCAAAGGTTGGTGACAGTCTGTGTCAAAGGTTGGTGACAGTCTGTGTCTAAGTTTAGTGACAATCTGTATCTAAGTTTGGTGACAGTCTGTGTCTAAGTTTGGTGACAGTCTATATCAAAGTTTGGTGACAGTTTGTAAATATGTCATCCCATCCTCCAGCTGCCAGGGGGGGGGCTGTTGCCAGCTGCCAGGAGGGGGGCTGTTGCCAGCTACCAGGAGGCTGTTGCCAGCTGCCAGGGGGGAGCTATATATATATATATATATATATATATATATATATATATATATATATATATATAGGGAACTAACATTTGCGAGCAGCACGGGCTATGGCGACCCCGTTGTACTCACCTCCCACAGCAGATGTGCCAAAGACTTACGAGAGAAGATAACTAATATACTGCAAGACTTCGAGGCCTAGACGAGCAGGTCCTCTCTTACCCCCCTCCCCCCTCTCCCTCCTTCCCTCCCCCCCACTCCTACCCTCCCTCCACCCCTTGTTTCATCTCCCCCCCTCCTTCACCTCCTCCACAGCACAAGCAGCCAGCTCTCACTTAAAGAGATGAGAGTGCCAGGACTCTATTCTGCCATCCGCTTTAAGTACTCAGTGTGAAAGAGAATGTTTGAGTTTAGAAGATGGTGTTGGAGTGTGGGGTGGTAGGGTATGTGGGGGGACTATGTGGGGGACTATGTGGGGGGCTATGTGGGGGGCTATGTGAGGGACTATGTGGGGGACTATGTGGGGGGACTATGTGGGGGACTATGTGGGGGACTATGTGGGGGACTATGGGGGGGACTATGTGGGGGGCTATGTGGGGGGCTATGTGAGGGACTATGTGGGGGACTATGTGGGGGACTATGGGGGGGGGCTATGTGGGGGGCTATGTGAGGGACTATGTGGGGGACTATGTGGGGGGGACTATGTGGGGGATTATGTGGGGGCTATGTGGGGGGCTATGTGGGGGGCTATGTGAGGGACTATGTGGGGGACTATGTGGGGGGACTATGTGGGGGGGCTATGTGGGGGGGACTATGTGGGGGGGGGACTATGGGGGGGACTATGTGGGGGGCTATGTGAGGGACTATGTGGGGGACTATGTGTGGGGGGACTATGTGGGGGGGCTATGTGGGGGGACTATGTGGGGGATTATGTGGGGGGGGACTATGTGGGGGGACTATGTGGGGGACTATGTGGGGGGACTATGTGGGGGGGGACTATGTGGGGGGACTATGTGGGGGGCTATGTGAGGGACTATGTGGGGGACTATGTGGGGGGACTATGTGGGGGGGGCTATGTGGGGGGACTATGTGGGGGGGGACTATGTGGGGGGGCTATGTGGGGGGACTATGTGGGGGGCTATGTGGGGGGCTATGTGAGGGACTATGTGGGGGACTATGTGGGGGGACTATGTGGGGGGGCTATGTGGGGGGACTATGTGGGGGGGACTATGGAGGGGGACTGTGGAGGGGACTATGTGGGGGGCTATGTGGGGAGACTATGTGTTGGAGGGTTTTTGGGAGCGTTTAGGGGGAGTTATAGGGAGTGTTCGGAAACGTAGAGGCGACTAAGTGTGTTTGGGAGTGTGAAAATGTGTAGTAAAGTGAGGGATAGTGATGATGAATAACAGGTAAAGACAGTGGTCTTCATGACCAACCAGCCATCTCCTCTCATAGATGAGATGGCTGGTTGAGATAGATGGATAAGATCAAACATCGCCTATTTCTCATAGGCGATGTTTCCCCTACAAGAGTAAGTGAAGTTTGCTACAATTTTGCCGTAGAGTTTGTGTAGGACATCCCCGCTACTGTTTGTTAGTGCTGACTACTGATTATGTGCCTCTGTATGATTAACTATCCTGTGTGATGGGGATTTTTTAGCACAACGTAGCTAGCTTTTTGACACACTGTACTCCCCGTCAGATAGTCTAGGGTAGCTGCACAAATGCAGATGTACCTAATGTGTTAATAATAAAAAAAAAAGCTGTGTGAGGTAAGTCCACTACGGGTTCACCATAGGCCGTGCTATACTTGCAACTTTTGGTTCCCAGCAGCTGAAGCTAAAACAACAATAACAACGTACCGGTGACCTTTGACACAGTATAGCTTGCAACGCCCCCTGTACCCATGCAAGACTGACCTTCACGAGGCTAGAGATACCTTGCACATCTACATGGAGGGACGCGGGAGCCCTAGCAACTGGGAGAGTGTGGCCAGACGCCCTATAGTTACCGATAGCACGTAAAAACTGTACAAGGATTCATCAAGCATTTCCGTACCCTACTTACGAAACCTATACATCTTTCCTCCACCATGGCCACGTAGTTTGATTAATGGTTTGATTAATCCCGGTGTAATACCGGCTTTCTAGGAAACACCTAATGACACCACCACCGCACTAATTGGTGATTGGTGACCTCTTGAACTACCTCATCCCTTTGTGGCAGTGAATACCAGCATTATCCTCACTTTAATAAGACTATCAAAATCCTCAGATTAGGCAAAATTTTAATTAATTTTGTCAATTAAGATGTTAATAATAATAATAATAATCCCTTTGTGTGTATTTATACCTCAATAAATTTATCGTATTTAGTTACACTAACTGACTGTGACGTAATTCTTAAAGTGTACATAAATATATATATTTGGTCATTATGTTAATAACTGACGAGTCATTATAGCTGAATATGAGCTTACTTATCAAAAGCTTTCCTAACCTATTGCCCAAGTTGAGGCTTTGATCAACAAATATCCTTTGTTCTTAGTGGATGATTATAGATTTTGTTCTTAGTCTATGAATATCCTGTTCTTAGTTTTGTTTTTTTTACCTACGAACCTATTCTTAAGCTTTGATCTACGAACATATTCTTAGTCTTTGATATACGAATATCCTGTGTTCTTCGTCTTGGATATAAGTATATACTATGTCCTTAGTATATCAAATTGATTCACGAATATCCTATATTTTCAAGTCTTTGATACAAGTTTAACGGGATGAATCTATAAACACCAAACTTATGTATATAATATAATATATATATATATATATATTTAATATATTCTTTATTTTGCATATTAACACGACTATGGAGGGAAGCCTAGTACTGTATTTAATATATACTCTATTTTGTATTTATATGGAGGTAAGCCTAGTACTGTATTTAATTTATTCTCTATTTTGTATATATATTCACGGGACTACGGAGGGAAGCCTAGTACTGTATTTAATATAATCTTTTAATTTTAAAAGTTAACCAATCACGTAAAGGATTTATTATATAAATTATATATAATATAATATACATTATACTATACATACACATTGAGAAGCGGAGGACACCTTTTGGTGTGTATATCCAGGGGATAAAATGCAGTTATATAAATATATATATATATATATAATATATATATATATATATATATATATAATATATATATATATATATATATATATATATATATATATATAATGGTCCCCAGGACTATATATATATATATTATAATATATATATATAATATATGATATATATATATATATATATATGTGGCAAATCCCAAGAGTCAAAACATCATTGGGTGTACATTTGCTTCTTGCCCTATCGGAAAATGTCAACAAAACGGTTTGAGAGGAGGCTTAGATACGAAAACAATAAATTTCGCAACACATAAATATTCCATTAATTACTTCCATACTTTATAAACTACTACAATTCACGGTCGAAATTAACTACAAATGATTTTAAAATATAAGTGGACTATGAGAGTGGTAATCCAGTATGCAAGTTAGGCAAGCCTAGGGCGAAAATATCCGTCCACAAAAAATAGGAATTATTAACATTATAAACCCAATTTACCGTCGTATGTAATAGCAAATTCTTACGACATTAAAATTAAACTTTCGGGTTTAAATGCCATTCTGCAAGTGTAATAATAACATTAAGAATTGAACAAATAACCGCTGGTGAAGGTAAGCGGAAATTCATGTTACGAGGGAAAGTATTATATTTTCAGCTACCTAGATGGAGGAATATATCATGCACCCATTTCTTGCCTCTTACATATACCTGTTCCGTCTCTCACAGTCAATAATCATACCTAATCTGCATACTCATGTCCACAAGCGTACAAAGATTGAGAGGAATGAGATAAGAGGACCTTAGCTAGGAGGAACTCAGCTTAAGAGGATCTTAGCGCTAGGAGTAACCTCAGGTAGGAAGACCTGAACTATGATGGAAGATCAAAAGTACTCACCTTAGTCAGCAGGTTCATCATCTCAGCCGACCTTTCTGGAGGAAGATGGTGATCAGGCGGGGGCGGCGGCTCCCTTGCAGCGATGAGGGCAGCGGCGGCGATGGTACCAGGACTGAGGGGTACCACAGCAGGAGGTAATTCCTCATGACGCAGTATCCTGGCAATCCTCTCCCTCCTGCGGATGTTCTCCATCACCTGCTCCTCCAGAACCTTCCTGGGGATGTGATCCTTGACGAGGTACCCACGGTTACGTATCAAAGTATCCAGTTGTTCCTGGGCCTTGCACACGCTGGCTTCCGCATCCTGTTCGCCGCCATTTTCTTCCACTTCCTCCAGTGGCGCCGCCTCCCCCGGGGGTCGCAGACGGAGGGTCGGCGTCCTGACTGGCGGGGCGGGCACGGGCAGGGGCGGCAGGCTGGATTGCGACACGGTGGCCACGGATTGCGACACGGTAGCCACGGAATGTGACACGGTGGCCACGGGCGCCGTCTCGCCTCCCGCCGTCATAGTCTCCCTTGATGCGGAGGAATGGCCTTCCTTGGCGTCATCCCTGGTGGCGTCGCGCCGCGTCCACAGTCGCAGAATGGCGTTTCTGAATCCTTGCCAGGGGCCGGCATCCATGGCGCCCCCGGGCCACCTCAGCCCACGGCCACTGTGGCCATGGCAGGGCCACTTTTTCACCGCCGCCCACACTGCATAGTGGAGCCGTGATCACACCCGTCCTGCCTCGTGCACTCACGGTTCCCCCGTTGCTTGGTGCACTCACGGCTTTCCTGATGGCTAGTGCACTCACGCGTCCTCTGTTGGATAGTGCACTGTTGTCAGTCGCACCGTTACCCTTCCTGGTGAACTCGCGGCCTGCTGGATGGTGCACTGACTGCTCCTCCCGATACACAAATGACCACCACTCTTAGTTCCTGCACTTGTAGTTCCCTGTTGCTTGGTGCACTCTCGGCTTTCCCTGCTACCTGTGCACTCTATAACTTTTCCCTGATTCTTGATTCACTCACATCGTCCCCCCCTCCTCCCCCTCTGCCTAGCGCACTCACGGCTGCCCCTGTTGACTGGTGCACTGTTGTCTTGTGCACTGTTGCCGGGTGCACTGCTTCCTGGTGCACTGCTCCCTCGTGCACTGCTGTCTAGTGCATTGTTGCCTGGTGCACTGCTGTTTGGCGCATTGATGCTTGGTGCACTGGTGCTTGGTGCACTGGTGCTTGGAGCACTGGTGCTTCTTGCACTCGTGGCAACCCTTGCTGCTGCTTGGTGAACTGCTGCTATGTGCACTGCCGCCTGGTGCACTCACGGGCGCCCTGCTGCCTGGTGCACTGCCGCGCGATGTCTTGCTGCTTGATGCATTGCCAGTTTCCCGAGCTGCTTTGTTCATTCACGTTTACTATGGTGCACGGTGCACCGCTGTCTGCCGCCTGGTGAGCTAGTGCGCCGTGCACTAACTGCTGCTCAAGCTTCTAGTTGACGTCGCTGCTCTACTGGTGCACTCACGACTCTCCTGGTGCACTCACGACTTTGTACACTCACAACTCTTGGTGCACTCACGACTCTTTGTGCACTCACGACTCTTGGTGCACTCACGATTCTTTGTGTACTCACGACGCTTCTGGTGCACTCACGACTCTTTGTGCACTCACGACTCTTGGTTCATTCACGATTCTTTGTGCACTCACGACTCTTTGTGCACTCACAACTCTTGGTGCACTCACGACTCTTTGTGCACTCACGACACTTCTGGTGCACTCACGACTTTGTACACTCACAACTCTTGGTGCACTCACGACTCTTTGTGCACTCACGACTCTTGGTGCACTCACGACTCTTGGTGCACTCACGACTCTTGGTGCACTCACGACTCTTGGTGCACTCACGACTCTTTGTGCACTCACGACTCTTTGTGTACTCACGACTCTTTGTGCACTCACGACTCTTTGTGTACTCACGACTCTTTGTGCACTCACAACTCTTGGTGCACTGACTACTCTTTGTGCACTCACGACTCTTTGTGCACTCACAACTCTTTGTGCACTCACAACTCTTAGTGCACTCACGACTCTTTGTGCACTCACGACTCTTGGTGCACTCACGACACTTCTGGTGCACTCACGACTCTGTGCACTCACAACTCTTGGTGCACTCACGACTCTTTGTGCACTCACAACTCTTTGTGCACTCACAACTCTTGGTGCACTCACGACTCTTTGTGCACTCACAACTCTTTGTGCACTCACAACTCTTGGTGCACTCACGACACTTCTGGTGCACTCACGACTCTTTGTGCACTCACAACTCTTGGTGCACTCACAACTCTTGGTGCACTCACAACTCTTGGTGCACTCACAACTCTTGGTGCATTCACGACTCTGTGCACTCACAACTCTTGGTGCACTCGCGACTTTGTGCACTCACAACTCTTGGTGCACTCACAACTCTGTGCGTTCACGACTCTCCTGATGCACTCTCCACTCTCCTGGTGCTCTCACGACTTTCTTGGTGCACTCACGACTCTCTTGGTGCACTCACGACTCTCTTGGTGCACTCACGACTCTCTTGGTGCACTCACGACTCTCTTGGTGTACTCACGACTCTCTTGGTGAACTCACGACTCTCTTGGTGCACTCACGACTCTCTTAGTGCACTCACGACTCTCTTGGTGCACTCACGACTCTCTTGGTGCACTCACGACTCTCTTAGTGCACTCACTGCTTTCCTGCTGCACTCATGTATCTGTTGGTGCACTCATTGCACTCAAGGTTCTCCTGGTGCACCCCCGGCTTTTTGTAGTACATCAACAGCTTTATGTAATGGACTCTAACCTGTCGTCTAGGGCACCACTCTGGCTTCTCGTAGCCTCTTGGTGCACCTTCGGTTGTCTCTGTTGGCTGGTGCACTCTTGGTTCTCCTGGTGCACTCTTGGTTCTCCTGGTGCACTCTTGGTTCTCCTGGTGCACTCTTGGTTCTCCTGGTGCACTCTTGGTTCTCCTGGTGCCTGGTGCACTCACGGTTCTAGACCCAGCGAAGGTAGGTTGGTTCTGGGCCCAATAACTGGATTTTCAGACAGGTATTCACGCGCGTGCACACACACACACACCCACGCACGCACACACTAGCAATGCAGTATTTTGATTTCCGTCGATGGGACGCCTTTATTGAGCAAATCGATAACTGAGTAGCACCAAACCTTACCCCTTCTCTAGCTCCACTTACTTGAGAGGCTCGACACACTCACGCGAAGCACTTGAACGAAGCACTCCAAATCACTCACATGAAGAGCGAAACTCTCACACGAAGTACTCCACACTAAGCCTGAGAGCCACACTCACACACACGAAGCCTCGAGTCAGTTTCAAAGAGGACAACACACACACTTTGAGCAGGGATGCGATGGGCCTGACCTGAGAGTCTCTCCCTGGGAAAGGTCAGGTCATTAGGGGAAACCGGGGAGGTCAGAATGTATTAACATCAAGAGTCGTTAATTCCGTTACTTTCACCACCATTACGCAATCTCTGGCACTGTAATTGGTCGACAGGATGGGATATAATTCGCGGCACCAGTCCACATTATCTACGACACTATGACCACTCCCACCAACACAAGTCTCCTGGGAATGTGTACTGTATATATATATATATGTGTGTGTGTATTTTTTTCTTTCTTTTTTTTTGCACACCTGTTAACGGTAATAGATATATATGGTAAGAGGTTCGTACGGGTCGCTATGAACACACGATGGAACGAAATATGAATGTCTACAGTGGATACTTGGCACTGATAGTGTCACTACTGGCATTGATAGTGTCACTACTGGCACTGATAGTGTCACTACTGGCACTCCTCTTCAAACTCTCCACGGGGCACCTAAAAAGAAAAAAATATATATCAACATTAGTACATGTATGATGGTTTGAATGCCTGCCTCTGCCCCTTTGTTACATTCCATCCATCTATCCCCAACCACTTGGGCTGGACGGTAGAGCGACGGTCTCCCTCCATGCAGGTTGGCGTTCAATCCCCGACCGTCCAAGTGGTTGGGCATCATTCCTTTTCCCCCGTCCCATCCCAAATCCTTATCCTGACCCCTTCCCAGTGCTTTATGGCCGTAATGGCTTGGCACTTTCCCCCCGATAGTTCCCTTCCCCTCCATCCATCTACAATTATATATTGAACTTCATATGGTACCCGGCGGTGCCCGGGTCGACCCAGCATCAGTCCAACCAAAAAAATTAAAAGAAAATTGGTGTGAAATAATAATACTAGACGGGAACATATATGATGCCACGTGGCCTCCCTAAACTACATATCAACACATACTGCAATGATCTCTTATTTTGACTATTTTGCATGACGTCATCAACATTTCTTGGCTATACTATGGTAATGTTTTACAATATGGTAATTTTTGTTGTATATTTTTGTTAGTGGGTCGACATGAGAGTCGACCTACATAACTTCATGAGAGTACACAGTCACATTATTATCATGATATATCAATCGCCGGTGTCCAGACACTCTGAAGCAACCATAACATCGCCGGTGTCCAGACACTCTGAAGCAACCATAACATCGCCGGTGTCCAGACACTCTGAAGCAACCATAACATCGCCGGTGTCCAGACACTCTGAAGCAACCATAACATCGCCGGTGTCCTGACACTCTGAAGCAACCATAACATCGCCGGTGTCCAGACACTCTGAAGCAACCATAACATCGCCGGTGTCCGGACACTCTTAAGCAACCATAACATCGCCGGTGTCCGGACACTGAAGCAACCATAACATCGCCGGTGTCCAGACACTCTGAAGCAACCATAACATCGCCGGTGTCCGGACACTCTGAAGCAACCATAACATCGCCGGTGTCCAGACACTCTGAAGCAACCATAACATCGCCGGTGTCCGGACACTCTTAAGCAACCATAACATCGCCGGTGTCCGGACACTCTGAAACAACCATAACATCGCCGGTGTCCGGACACTCTGAAGCAACCATAACATCGCCGGTGTCCAGACACTCTGAAGCAACCATAACATCGCCGGTGTCCGGACACTGAAGCAAACATAACATCGCCGGTGTCCAGACACTCTGAAGCAACCATAACATCGCCGGTATCCGGACACTGAAGCAACCATAACATCGCCGGTATCCGGACACTGAAGCAACCATAACATCGCCGGTGTCCGGACACTGAAGCAACCATAACATCGCCGGTGTCCGGACACTGAAGCAACCATAACATCGCCGGTATCCGGACACTCTGAAACAACCATAACATCGCCGGTGTCCGGACACTGAAGCAACCATAACATCGCCGGTGTCCGGACACTGAAGCAACCATAACATCGCCGGTATCCGGACACTCTGAAACAACCATAACATCGCCGGTGTCCGGACACATGTATGCCAATGCCCAGTTCAGCAGCTGAGACTGAGAATAGGTCAACTCCTTTATGTTATTGTTTGCAGGTGATGACAATCTTATACGAATAATGAACTGGGAAGAGGTAGCAAAATCTGCATATAGTGACGTGGACGAGTGGTGAGAAGAGGCTGTCACGTGCCTCCTCCTGCTGATCCTACAACGTGATTGGCCTGCAAAGTTCTTTCTAACGTCGTTGTGACTCATTTCGGTACTAATTTTCCATTTGTGTCTCCTTGTTCGTGCTTCACCCGTGTTAAACACTTTATCTCTGTCTACCCTGAGAATTTTATTGGCAGAGATCATGTCTCCCCTAACTCTTCTGTCTACCAGTCTCGGGAGGTTTAGTTCCAGTAATCTTTCCTCGTAGCTCATACCCCTCAGTTCGGGGACTAGCCTGGTGGCATACCTCTCAGCCTTTTCCAACTTACATACCACAGTCTTGGCTCTCTTACCCTGACCTTACATCAGTTCTCATTCACATTTACCGACTGATTCCTTATCAATTTAACCGCAATAAAAACAAAAAAACAAAATTCAATTCAGCTTGGTCTGGGGCACTCTCCCCCCCCCCCGCCGTCCCATCCCAAATCCTTATCCTGATCCCTTCCAAGTGCTATATAGTCGTAATGGCTTGGCGCTCTCTCCTGATAGTTCCGTTCCATTCCCCGGGGGACACTGAGTGACATGCAGAAGAGGAGTCACAATAACGTGGCTGAAATATGTTGACTAAACCACACACTAGAGAGTGAAGGGACGACAACGTTCCGACTTCAATCGACTTGAGAATGGTCCAGGACGGACCGAAACGTCGTCTCTTCACTTTCTAGTGTGTGGTCTGGTCAACATTGAGTGACATGCAGCCATTGCTGGCGTGCTGTGGACACATCTACACCACACTCCATACATCTTAACAATTGCTAAATCTATTTTCTCTGCAATTTCCTGGCCGTCCGTCGTTGTTAACAGTCATAACATTCATCGTGAATTGACTGAAAGTTTACGAACGGCTTCTAATGCCCTTTGAGCCTGGGCTCAGGACATACATTGCAAGTAATGGCTTCAGATTTTATCGCAACCCTTTATTAGATTAAATGGATTTGTGTGTGTATACGTAAGGCAGATATATAGCAGTTGACCCTGCAGCAGACAGCAGACAGCAGACAGGAGGTAACAAGCAGGGGCTTCTGCCTGACTGGTTGTAGAGCATAACTCTCTGTCTGTCTGTCTGTCTCTCTCTCTCTCTCTCTCTCTCTCTCTCTCTCTCTCTCTCTCTCTCTCTCTCTCTCTCTCTCTCTCTCACACCAGCAGAATAAGCCATACTGGCAAACGTTCCGTTATCCTTCGGGAACTTGGACAAATTAGTTCCCTTCCGATCTCTGTATACAATCTTTGTTACTATCTAAACAAACTTAAAGTAAAACTAGAAAATGTTCAAAAACATGCAACAATGATCGTTTCTGGTTCAGGAGACTGAGCTATGAAGAAAGAAAGAAAGAAAGAAAGAAAGAAAGAAAGAAAGAAAGAAAGAAAGAAAGAAAGAGGGAACTGGACCTCACTATACTGGAGAAAAGAAGGAATAGCGCAGACATGATAAAGACGTACACGATACTAAGGGTTATTGACAAAGTAGATGTAGAAGCAAGAGTTACATTAAGGAACAGTAGACTGAGAGGACATAATTTGGAAACTGGAAACACAGATGAGTCACACAGAGATGTCAGACCTAATTTTAGTCGTAAATTAGTGGAAAAGAGCAGGTCAGGAATTTTTCGAAGCTAATTCAATACACAGTTAGAAATCATTCATCCACATCTGTTCTCAATCCTTTGAAAGGCTGCGTGAAATGCACCTCACGACACTGGAAGACAGAAGAATAAGAGGAGACATGATCACTACCTACAAAATTCTCAGAGGAATTGACAGGGTAGATAAAGATAAATTGTTTAACATGGAAGGTACGCGAACAAGGGGACACAGGTGGAGACTGAGTACCCACATGAGCCACAGGGATGTTAGAAAGAACTTTTTCAGTGTCAGAGTAGTTAACAGATGGAATGCATTAGGCAGTGATGTGGTGGAGGCTGACTCCATACACAGTTTCAAATGTAGATATGATAGAGCCCAGTAGGCTCAGGAATCTGTACACCAGTTGATTGACAGTTGAGAGCAGGGATTAAAGAGTCAGAGCTCAACCCCCGCAGGCACAACTAGGTGAGTACACACACACATACACCTACACCCACACACACACACACACACACACACACACACACACACACACACACACACACACACACACACACACACACACACACACACACACACACACACACAACAAAGTGTACATACACTTGGGTACGTGAAGAGTTGCCAGGGAAGCAGCACACCCCAGGACACCTACCACAGTTGCCACAGTCGCCCGTCAGGTGCCAGAGGCGCTCCTGTAGTGCCACAACTCTCCCCTGGCCTGGCTATTACTGTCCACTTGGCCCTCCCTGCGGCACTGACAGTGGCACCTGTGTCTCCTGCCTTACCTAGCGTGTGTGGTGTGTTACGTAGCGTGTGTGGTGTGTTACGTAGCGTGTGTGGTGTGTTACGTAGCGTGTGTGGTGTGTTACGTAGCGTGTGTGGTGTGTTACGTAGCGTGTGGTGTGTTACTTGAGTACGTCTGTCGTACGTAACAGTACGTCCAGGAACACCTCTCCAGGATTGTAGGCTCTGATGTATTTATTGACCCGTCCGACCAGAACGGGTCAAGACTGAGGACGAGTCTTCTCACACGGGTCACTATACCTGGTCCAGAAGTTACAGGGAGGGCAGGCCATCGAGGCGAGCCGTGCGTATGAAAGGTGTAAGGCAAACCTGCGTTTCACGCACAGTTTTGCAGCCACTGCTGTCGAGAGGACTCGAGAAACTGTTTATTTAGATAGATAGTGCTTTTAGCTCTACTTTACCGTTCTCTTTTTCAAATATTCATACCCCCCCCCCATCCCGCTCCCCCTCCTCGCCGCCCACAACACAACTGCCGCCCATCCGTCACTGCCAACCCACCAAAGGGCCGCCCAAGGGCGCGCTGTTACCCCTGAGAGAGAGAGAGACACGTCAGCAACACTACAATACATTTATGTTGCTGTTCTTTTATCTCCAGGGGGCGCTACTGTCCATGTTTGTTGCTGCCCATCCCCCTACCCCTCTCCCCCTCACTCATGGTTATCTTGAGGTTATCTTGAGATGATTTCGGGGCTTTAGTGTCCCCGCGGCCCGGTCCTCGACCAGGCCTCCACCCCCAGGAAGCAGCCCGTGACGGTTGACTAACACCCAGGTACCTATTTTACTGCTAGGTAACAGGGGCATAGGATGAGAGAAACTCTGCCCATTGTTTCTCGCCGGCGCCCGGGATGGAACCCGGGACCACAGGACCACAAGTCCAGTGTG